GTTTTCCAATAAACAGTTTTAAAATTACTTTATTGATGCTTCTTTAATGAAAAATCTACAACAAACAAAGGAAAAAGACAAAGAAGCAGCCGAACTAGCAATCCTCAACAACTTTTTAATTTTTACACCGYGAMCCAAAGTTTTGTTTCAGGAAATCACATCCCCAGCAATCAGCGGTTGTAGAATTAAGCTGTAAAAGAGTTCATACAGCACTAGTTGGCAGTGTTGTGCATTTATTGTACATGAATTATTGCCGGCTAGTAAGTGTCAAATTGAACTTGCACTTTAAAATTAGCTTCCGCTAGTTTTAAGTTGCGGACCTAAATATTTTCATAAGTGCTTTAGAAATATCGGAGCTAATTTTTGGATTAGCATTGCCCACCACTGCTCCTTACAGATCTACCTATTTCTTTTTGCAAAAACAAACACATCCAGAATGAGGCTTATGAGACAAAAACTTCCATTGTACTTTTGGAACAGCAAGTGTTTACCTGTTCCTGAGGCCCAGAGGAAGATTTCTTTTACCCACATCAGTAGCTGGGTTCATGCATGCAAAGAGACGGAAATCTGGGTGTCGAACCAGTGGCTCTGTAATCACCAAACAGCAGAAGCATTTATGAACTTTCAAAAGTAAATCGAATCATTTATTCAACACGTAAAACCACCTGAATTGGCCAACATGTTGCAGACACACATTGCTCCATCCAACAGAAAATTTCACATCACATCACAATCACCTAAGAACAAAAAGAAACAGGATTAAATGCAAAAAGTATTTAATAAAATTATAAACCACCTCACCACGGCTTTCTAAGGCTGTACTAGGCTGTACTAAGAGAAAGAACAGCTTTATGTACTGGTAATAGTTAGGTTTAGGGTCAGGATATAAAGATAGAAATACTTTAACGTGTTTGTTCTGATCAACAGATGTAGCAGTAATCTAGTTGTTAAACCATTTCAGGCACATTTGATGACGTGTTGATGAAGTTATTTTAAATTAATAAATGAGACTACTAGGGCTGCAACTAACGATTATTTTAATAAATCAATTAATCTGTTGATTATTTTTTCGATTAATCGGCCAAATCATTAAAACGCTTAATTACATGAATATGAGTAGATAAAAATTGATTTCATTCCTGTATAAATTAAGGATGCAAGTTATTGATTACTTAATTAATCTGAAGTTGCTTTATCTTATAGATTGACTAACAGTTGATAAGCAGCCATTTTCTTAAAAAACTGGAGTTTTCTCTTGAATCAAGTCTTTTCATAAKATGAAGGATTTTTTTATAATCTCCTGAATTAAAAAACAGAAGCACATCATAAATATTTTAACAATTTATTTTGCCAGCTGTATTAAATACCGACTGAAAAAAATGTGTATTTCTCCTACAAGAAACATAACAGAAAATTAATAGGTTGCTGAATCAGGAAAATAGAATAAAATATGATTTTTAGATGTAAAGCTATTATTAATTTATTATAATTCAAATTTATTTATATTTAACATTTATAATTTTTCTAATTCTTTACTTTTTGCTTCATTCTTGTTGGTTCTGTCTGAATTCGACCCAGTATAACTGGTTCTGAATCAGCCCCTCCTTCCTCCTTCCCTCTCCTCTGCTGAGGCAGACCTGCTGCTCGCCTTTTTTTTTCCTTCGTCTGGAACCTTTTTGCTGCTCAACAAATAACTTTGAGCCTCAGTCAGAAAAAACTGGAGGGTTTTTATACTTTTGGCCCGAGAGGACGAAACAAACGTTTCCTCCTTGCGACGCGGCTCGCATCAGACCGTCTTTTATAAACATTAAATGTGGCAGATACTTTTTATCATGTCTTCAGATCTACTTGGCCTAACAACACGATTTAAAAACTGTTTTAAACGCATAAAGGGACGCATAAATCGCGCGACACAACAAATCGATAATGAAATTCGTTGCCAACACATTTAATAATCGATTTTTATCGATTCGTTGTTGCAGCCCTAGAGACTACAGTCGAGTCCTGGGCATGTGACTCTGGTGATCATGTTATTCTTGTTTTACTGGACTTAACAGCTGCATTTGATACAGTAGACCACAGCATTTTGTTGATGCGTCTACAGCACCAGGTAGGCATCAGTGGCACTGCCCTYGAGTGGTTAAGGTCCTATTTGGCAAACAGAACATTTTCATTAAAAATTGCAGGATTTGAATCCTTTTCTGCTCCTCTGTCATGTGGGGTTCCCCAGGGTTCAATTTTGGGGCCTTTGCTTTTTTCTCTGTACATCCTGCCTTTGGCTTCAATTTTTAGAAAACACGGCATCTCCTTCCATTGCTACGCTGACGACTGCCAAATCTATGTACCTCTAAGGCGAGTTGAGGCTTGGTCCATTAAATCTCTTTTAGCATGTCTCGATGATCTTAAAAGCCTGGATGGCCCTAAATTTCTTGCCTTTTAATGAAAAAAAGAACGAGTACTTGTTTTTGGACCTAGTGGAGCATGCCCGAGTCCTCCAGTGGATCTAGACCCCTTGGCTAAGCCCACAGCTACAAACCTTGGTTTTAAGAAGGACAGTGATTTTAAACTTGACAGTCAAATAAGGGCTACAGTTAKGTCTAGTTTTTATCACCTGAGAAAAATAGCAAAGATAAAATCTATTCTTTCAAGGCAACAGTTTGAAACAGTGGTCCATYCTTTTATTTCATCTCGACTGGATTACTGTAACTCTATTTTGGAGTAAACCAGTCATCAGTGCAAAATGCTACTGCCCTTCTTTTAACAGGAACACGTAGAAGAGAGCACATCACCCCGGTCCTGGCTTCCCTCCACTGGCTGRCTGTCTGTTTTAGAGTCCATTTTAAAATCCTTCTGTTTYTTTTTAAGGRTTTAAACAACRTCGCCCCATCRTATTTAACAGAGCTTCTTCACCGTTACACCCCTCCTCGGTCACTCAGGTCTGCTGACCAGCTGCTCCTGGTCATTCCCAGTTCTAAACGGATGCTCAGAGGAGATAGGGCTTTCTCTGTTAACGCCCCTAAACTGGAACGCCTTGCCCTTGCAGGTCCGACAGGCCTCTTCACTGTCCATTTTTAAGACTCGTTTAAAAACTTCTTTTTTCTCACTGGCCTTCAACCCAACTGAGATTTGATTTTACTCAACTTTTACTGTATTGGTGCTGATTTTACTTAACTGTGTGATTTTATTGTGTTTTTGTATTCAGTTTTTATTTRDTGTGTTCAGCACTTTGTTTCAGCAGTGGCTGATGTTATAGCGCTTTATAAATAAAGTTTGATTGATTGATTGATTGACTGTGTGACAGCAGGCCTCACCTGTGTCTCCACGGTCGAGCAGCACCAGAGATCCAGCCCTGCCCTCCAGCAGTCCACTCAGACACTCCAGAGTCTCTGCTGCTGCCAGGTTGATCTCATCTAGCAGGATCCAGTGGCCCTTCTTCACAGCCTGGGCTAAAGTTCCCTGCGGACCACCCACAGTTCAGAACTGCAATCCTCTACAACAGCACAAGTGTGTGAGCGGGTGTGTTTACCTCCACAAAAGCAAATACCATGGTCGTCTCACAGGTTCGCATCTGCTGCTGAGTCTGACTCAGTTTGGAAGCCAGCACCTCCCACTGTTTCTTCAGAGAGGCAGCTACAGACACACAGGAACACATCAGCCTTTCTCGCATTGGAGTTTTTTTATTTTTGTTTTTAATTTCTGTACCGTTTCGTTTCTTCTTCAGCTCATTGGCCAAAGCAGATTTGCAGACGTGCTCCATGAGCCTGAGCAGGTCCTGCCAGCGTTTCCCCCTAAAGCAGGTCTGCACGTGACCCAAGAAGGTTAGGTTCTGGTTCCTGGAGTAAGTCTGGGAAAACAGGTCCTCGAAGGCCTCCCTGAGAGGCAGCACAATCTGTTTGTGGTCTACAGGCTTGTACCTGAAAAAGAAAACATCAAATCAGACCTCAGTCTTCCAGCAGCAGAAAAGAGCCAACATTTACAAGACTGTTTTCTGCCATGTTTTCTCCAAGCATACTGTTTCTGCATACTTTGTGTTACCATTCATCTACCAAAATGCTCCGTTTGATCAGAAACAGAAAGCTGTACATTTTAGTTTTTGTAACTTTTATAGTTTTCAAAATACAGTATTTGTTAAGCCCTAAGGGGTTTTAGAGGTAATTTCTGCCTGAAAATACACAATAAAATAAATCAAGATTAGCTCCACAGTTATAAGGTCTAAATGCTAACTCCTGGTACCTCTGTAAAGGTAAGATCTCAAAGATAATTTCTTAAGGGAAACCACTATTGTAACTCTTACTGTGCCTGAGTTATTTATGATTAAATAAAGAAAATTTGTAGTTTTTTTAGCCTCGCCTAAATATATATTTTTAAATCAACATTGTAAAACACAATGAAAACTCTTGTGAAGACCCAGGAACGCCCTTAGATTTTATACATCTACATCTTGAGAGAATTTGTAGCAAAGTAGGACTGAATAAGTTGAAGTATATTCATTTCACAAAGGTTTTAGTGAGCAGTATGCCAGGCAGAAATGGCATTTTGGCACAATTTAGCCAAATGTACCCAAAACTGTACCAAATGGGTTTTTTACTTTATAAAAGAGAATCTGGTTTAATAAAAGTGTTGATTTCTATTGTAAGACTCATTCTGTATATGACATCATCTTTTCTTTTTACATTTACACTGTGCATCATCAAAATCTACCATTGTGCACACCATGAAATCACTGAATGGAACCTAACCCCGCCTCAACGTTTTACACATGAGGGCTGTTATTTATACTCTTGGTAACGCGTGAACTTCATGTCACCACACAAAGAGTAACACAGTATCAAGATATATCCCTGAATTCGTGAGAGCTTCGTCTTTTCAAAGATACCAAAGGGAGGAGTACGAAACCAAAACTTGCACAGTAACAGATGCGGAGAACTTTCCGATACTGAAACGGTCTGCGACGGTTCAAGTAACTTACAAATGTTTATATAGCTTTAAAATCATAAATATTTATCCAAAAAAAAATTGGCGACTCATTTTAAAAACTTTAAAGGCACCTTTTGTGATGGATTTAGAAAAAATTAGGGAAAAATAAGTTTTACACCTACTTTAGCAAACAACAATGAATGACACCATCTGCTGGCCTGTACAGGGCCTGTCGGACTTGTGATTCTTGTGTAAATAGATTAGGATTCGTTTACTTTCTTCTAAATATTGTTCTTTTTTAAATCTGGTTCAACATATTTGCTCTATTTTTGTTGTGCTACTTTTAGCTATGGATACCAGTATGCTAATTTTATGCACTTCTTTGCAAATTTTAGTTGTTTGCTCATCTTTTGCTAAACTTAACTTTAACATAAGGTTTCACTAATTGCACTTGTTTTGATTGGTTTAATTTTAAAGATTCAGTCTTGGTCTTTTCAACAAATTTCAGAATCCCACATCCCAAAGATTCTCCATGGCGGTTCAGGTCTGGATTCTGGTGGACAGTCCATGCAGGGAAATGTCTCATGTTTCCTGAACTAGTTTATAAAGAGGTTCCTGTTTGATTAGTTAAATCCAGGTGGTGACCTGTTTTGGCAGGGTGGTGTATTTGAAATGTTTCTGACATGAGGCTGAATTTGACTTGTTTTAGTTTAGACAGTTTATGATGACTCACCCTCCAAGAAGGTCAGCTGTATCACTTTGCTGGTTCATATTTACGACCCGCAACTTGTGTCCTGAGTTTTGATACAGAAGAGGTGTAATTTAAAAGCTTATTTAAAAATAGCAGAACATTTGGGATAAATGTGGTCATGAACTCACCTGTCATTGTGGCCAGATGCTGTACAGTAGAGGTCTTTCCTGTTCCGGTCTCGCCCACAAGCAGGACTGGCTCTCCTTTGGCCACACAGACTGCCAGCTGTTCCAGCAGAACCGCCGAGGGTCGAGTGGCAGCAAATGTTTGCTTATCTCTGACAGAGGGAATAAAAAGCTTCAAATTAATCACGAGTTCACTGTTTGTAGTTAAGTCTTTACCACAAAGTTAAGAATTATTGATACACCACCACTTTTTAATTACATGTTCGTTATTATTAAAGGTTTTGTCTCGTCTCATTTAATTAATCTAAAATGTTGCAAAATTGTATTTCTTTGTTAGCCACCACTATCCACATGTAAATACCTGTTGTCTCATATTTATCTTTTTATGTCCAACCCAAAACATTTGGCCTTTTTGTTCCAATACTTTTGGAGTACAAGTTCTTCTCTACAGTAGTCTGAGCTTAAAGTGTTACACCCACTATTTTTTCATATTGCATTGTTGTTGAGGTAGAATTTTCAAGTGTTTAAAAAAGATTTCAACATATTTTTTTATTTTCTGCCTGGCCTTCAGAGGAGTCGGACGCTTTTTGCTCTCTGTCCCGAACCTGTTCCTCCTTCCCTGCTTTGCAGCTTTTTTCAAGCCTTTCTTCTACCTATCATCCACAAACAAAAGGAATTATGGATTTGGTCAACTGGTCTCTGAACACAATCGACACTATTTTTTCCACACTGAGATTGGAGCGTGGGGAGATCAGCTGTCCCAGTGGAATGGTGGCGGCCGGGCGAGTGTCTGGTTCTTGGGGTTGGAACCTGATCTGTTTGGCGCCGCTTTCCATTGAAGACGTGGAAGGTTTGTACATATTTGGATTCATGATAACTGCATTCCTGCTGATCGTCTGTGGAGGAGTCCTGGTTTATCAGAAAATGAAAGCAATCCTGACAGCAGTCCGGGCCTGTGAGAAGCTGTCAGGGACCTTGGATGGAGTCTCCCGTACTGGAAATGCACAGACTCTGATGTTGGGGGGATATAAGTCAATTCAATTCAATTCAAAAATACTTTATTGATCCCAGAGTGAAATTTGGTGTTGTTTAACTCATTTAACTAAAAACTTATTGTAGATACTGATGGCTGTAGGCAGGTCACAAACTGGACATGATTCTGACGAGAATCACAGCTCAGCAGCGTGCCCGTGAGATGTAGGATTACACCTGGGTGAAGTATCAGACGGAAAGAGAGGCGAGGAGGTAATGACATTCGGAACATTGCCATTTTTTCGCCATCACAGAGATGCAGTTACAGACTTTAAAGCAGCAAGAAAATCAAGGCTGCTTGTCCCAAAACAATTGTGTTTATCTTTTGGATCCCTGCAGCTGCTGACCTTTATTTGGCATTTATCAAACTCCCTGGATGACACGTGAGACCGAGGCTTGACTCCCCATCCCCTACCTGTTTCATCCGTGGGTCGATCAGTCTGAAGGCTACGATGGGTGGAGACAGAGAACTGACTCAGGTGATTTGTGTTTTAGTTGATAACAACTTGTTTTGGAGGTCTTTGATTGGTTCCATCACGGAGTATTAACCCTAAACGTCACCGGCTCTGCTGCATCCTACCCCGTACCATGTGTTTGATCTCCAGCCCCCTTCCTTCCTTAGCTGCCTTGCACTGAGCGAGTGGTTTTTTTGAGTATATGATGTTGTGTTTCTGTGTAAACATAGGATCAGAGCATTTTTTTAAACTCATCTTTCCGATTGTGTGTATTCCAAGATTTTTAAAGGTAGCGTGACCCCTACTGGTTGCCGCATGACTTGATCACCTGTTAACCCATGTTTTTGTCATGTGTGTGTCTTCTTGAATGGGTGTTCTTAAATGTAATTTCATCGTGCAAACGATGACAATAAAGGCTTTCATCATCATCATCACCATCACCACCTTCATCATCATCATTTTAGGATATTATGTTTGCGCGGTCTGGTGACATTTATGAAGATCAACCCCACTTTAGAGATCCAGTTCATAATGTCCAATAAACTTAGAGCCAACACACAAATACTAGGACATCCCCAGGTTGCCCACATGTCCTGACTGGTCAGAGCTCTTTTGCAGGCTCCAGGGTTAGCGTTATCCAATGCTAGACGGGTAGTCATAATGTTATGGCTGACTGATGACCCACTGTTTTCAGGCCAAAGGTTATGTCCAATTCCTGTTTGTTTCAGGGCAGGATCAATGTGGATATTTGGACACCTCCGGCCTGCGGAGCCATTAGATGAGTCTGTTTACAACAGAACAGTTTCAAATCAATATAATGCTTGTTTTATTTAGCACCATTGGTCAGCTTGTTTCTGTCAGTGGGTGAATGTTGACACAGCAACAAGCTGATGCGTATGATGTAAATCATTTAAAATGTCCCACTTACACAACCAGCTGGACAGCCTTGGCCTGCTTTCGATCCAGACTGGCTCTGCCCACTGAGGCCTGGAGTTCTGTCAGAACCATGGCAGGCTGGTACATTTTGCAGAAGTACTGGGCCTGGAGACAAACAGGACAAGAAAAGAACTCTGATATGACCGGTTCATTATGAAATCTAACTTATAATAATAATTGTCTAAAGACTGTGCTTTTTAAAATCAAAACGTTTGCCCAATCAAATACCTTCTCTTTGGAGATGTTGAGTTTGCTTCCAATGGTCTCGGACATTTGCAGTCGACGTTCAGGACAGGACAGCACGGCTGTAAAGCAGTCAAGAGCCTGACAAAGGAGAAAGCAGCCACACAAAAAAAGAAAAAAAAAACAAGATAAACATGCAAGATAAACATGTAAGTTCCAAATTGAGGCAGATTTGCAGGTTGAAATGTTTTCTGGTAACTCCATGTCAAATCACCCAAAACAATGAAATATTAACCCAACCGTCTCCAATTCTGATAAAATTTGGCATATTTGTTCATTGGGATTTCACAGCACAGTATCTCCATTTTTAGATCAATCAGACCAGTGATTCCAGGGTTGATTGAACATTTGACCTTTCCTATGACCTTGAAATTGACCTTGTGGATCACACGACCTTGATAACCATTCCTGAAATCAAATCCACCACTTGTCATCTAAAACATAGAACAATTTTAAAATCTTAATATTTTTTGTTTAGGAGCAAGTTTGATTTAAAAGATATGTATCGGTTAAAATTAACCATGGAATGCATTATAAATGTACACAATTACATGAAAACGTGGAGCATCTCTTTGAATCAAAGTAATTTTGCCTGTATAATAACTTTATTTGTAAAAACATACTGAGTGACCTAATATTATTTTACTTGGTATATTAAACTGCCCTTTCCTGAAATTTACACCACTAATAGTTATGTCAACCATGTTATAGATACTAAGGTGTACTTTTTTAGCAGTTATAACACTCGATCAAAGATTGAGTCGCTATCAAATTAAAACAATTTTCTTTTCAGTAACAACATATAATGTCTGTAACGAAGACAAATTTGTAATCCTGATCAAATTCCCTTTCCAATCGGGACTGTACATTAACTTTTGTAGCTCATAGCTAAGGCTGGCTATCATGGCCAATTCTCTAAATCAATTCAGTTTCAATTCATTAAGTTCAGAATTGATTAACCACGATTCGATGAAAATGTTTATTGATATTGTATTTTGCAACTGTGTTGTAAAATACAGTATGACCATTTTTTTTTTCCTCCTCAGCATAAACAACTGGTTTTAAGGACAAACTTTTAAATTAAACTGTTTAATCTAGAAAGAAAACTGTCACAAGTATAAAAAGTTTTAAAGTAAAAAGGAATTGCAGGTCTTGTTGGATGCATTCATTTTTAAGTAATTAATTTTTTTTTGATAAATAAGAAGTGATGGGAATAAGGCTGCAGGAGAAGAGGTGAGCTAATATAAACATACTTCTGCCCACTCCTTTTGAGTGTATGAAAACTAGTGAATGGGTGTTCTGAACTGTAATTTCATTGTGCTCTGTACAATGACAATAAAGGTCTATCTTATCTTATCTTAAAACAGTATATTTGTAATGTTTCTGTTACCTTCTGTTATGTTCAATAAAAATTATTAAAGGAGACCAATTATGGGTGCTAGAAATGTTTATGGTTAGTCTGTGGGCTATCCAGACCATGTTCATTCAATTTAATGCACAAAATAATTCTCAGATAATAAAATTTCCCATTTTCTAGTTCTGCCTGCTKTGACTTCCGTTCAGAAGAGCRGTTTATGTTAATGAGCTCTGTTGGTAACACCCTCAAAAAAATCTGTTGACATTAACTCCGCCCTCCAAAGCCAGCGTTTATGTTAGCATGGCTAATAATAGCAGAAGCTCCGTTGTACAACTTATATGAGACCCAGAGGCAGAGTCGTGGTCGCAGCTTCTTTCTTTTTTTTTCTCTCCCTCCTCTGCTCTGCGCTCACTCTGCATGCTGTTACCAGAGCAGGGAGCAGCAGCGGTCAAAATACCTCAGAAACTCAAACAAATAGGCTTTAACAAGGCTTTAATAAGCTAAACAATAGAGGTACATGAGAAAACGTGTTCATAACGAACGAAAATAAGTAAATAATTAAATTGTGTTCGTGCCAGTCTTGAGCCCTGGTCTCCCACTCTCTGGTCCAACACTCTACCCATTGCCCTATTGGAAACTTGTTGTGAAATGAGCTGCACATTGTACAACAACACCG